AGGCTATGGTTTCTTTTTTATACAATAATTGGTTGCCAGAAGCTTTGTTTCAATACAAAATACGTGCAGCTCTATATATTTTCCCATTTCTTTGGGACATGGCGTTCCTAGAGTTGGGGGAGGGATGGCCAATTCTGCTATGTTAAATATTCCATCTTATCAAAGAGGTGTTTCATAAATTATGTATAACAGTAGATGCCACTCAATAAATATTTTATACGTGATAGATATTTTTGTCTGAAATTACTTTTTCACTTGAGCAATGATTTAAACCCTCGTTTTTAGTTTTATGAGGTGACACTTTTATAATATCGTGTAGTGAATGCAGCTTGAATGTCATGGAGCTTTAGAGCAGCATTAATCATAAATTCATCTGCCCCCACTCCCAGTCCTGGAAGACTGTCTCTTAATTCAGCTGTTACCCATTCTGTGTATGGAACTGTGTGTGAGAACATGCTGGTGTGTGTGCATGGGAAGGGGGAGTGGGGACAGGTAATGCTTTTGACCTAGTGGCTCCAAAGTTATGAATTTCCAATGATTTTCAAAAGCTATGAGACTTATTTCAAGGAAGGGAAAAAGAAAGTATTTTTCAGTGGTTTTTTTAAAAAAAAAGGAATATGAAACTAAACTGGGATGTAGTCCAAAACAATTTCTCTAGTTTGAGTGGGAGCTATGAGAATTTAAAATATTGCCTTTTCCTCGGGTTATTGTCCACTCTTATGCAGAAAGAAAATACATATGTCTCTGCACTTCTGAGAACAGTCACTGTCCTCTTCACATGGACCTAGAGGCCTGGAACATTTGTTGGCAGGCGGCTGCCTAACCACATATGTGGTACTGTCACAGTTCAGAGCCACCAGACCTTCCAGTGAGGACACTGTTTTATGAAATAGAACCGTGTGATTAAGTTCTCCACTCTAACATATATCTTTTTTTTTTTTTTTCTTTTTTTTAAAGCACATACTTTCCTCTCCTGCTTGAATTCTACAGTCAGGAGGAAAAGAACACATTCTACCAATATCTGAGAGATAGGAGTAGAGGCTGGTTTATTTAGAGTACTCATTTAACTAAGATTTGCGAGGGTCTTGGTACAGTAAATCAGGATTACTGAAGTCTCCGACCTGGAAGCCTGAGGTTTTGAGCCCTGCAGTGGGAGCCTGGCTGATAAGAGGAGTAATTGAAGAACAATGATACGCTTCATTTCCTTTTCTTGAATCGAAGTTATGCATTGGTCATTTTCTCTGCGTATCTATTTAATGGTTGTTAAATTAAATTGCTTTCTTTCAAGTGGTGATTTTTATGGTTTTTTTTTTTTTTTGCATTTCATTCCATCACCCTCTTGCATGACTGCAGCTCTGTGGGTGTGTGTTTGAGACTCATATATCTGCAGAGATGAAGGCCCAGGAAACTTCTCTCTTTCTGCTACCCTTCCCCTGAACCTCTTAGTAACTCCCTTGTCTATAAGGTTGTGAAGTTCTGAATCCTTCACCTAGAGGATGACATCGTTTTAATATTTCAGTAACATGAAATACATTTATTCATTGCAGAAATGTAAGGTGTACTGAGTATGTTTCAGGCAGTGCTCGCTTTGGGGATCTAGAACTGTGCCCTGGTCACAGTGCGCATTATAGGGGTGGGGTGGGGAAGAGACCCGCTAGGAGTGTCTCTACCAGGAACCTGGCTGGTAGCTTAGAGCTTGCTTCCCCGTTGGTCACATTATACCTAAGATCACAGGGTGCAGCGTTGTGCTCTTGGACGTGACTCAGTCAGAGCTCAGCATGGCCCAGCCTCAAGGCTGGACTTTTCACCTTCGGTCTTTGGAATTTATCTCAGATTTGTTTAGAAGCCTGATTTTAGAGCTCTTTTGTCTTGGTACCGATGGGCCTTATGTTAGGACAGGGACCCATGGTCTGTTGCCTGACCAGCGCTGTTGCCGCCCTGCCTGCATTTGTCGGAACTCCGTGTACCTGACCATTCATTCATTCATTCATTGATTTGACGATACTAACCAGTTACAATGTGTCAGACATGAAATTAGGCACTGGCTTATATTCTAGTCCGGACAGGTAATAAGCTCATATGTAATATATCATGTAGTGGTAATTGTTAAGGAGGGAAACATCAGGATAAAGGAGATTAGTGCTTATTACTTTGTATGGGGTGATGGGGAAGGTGGCATTTGAGTGGAGACTGGAGGTACTGAAGGCTGAGTTATTTATATAGTTATACACACACACACACACACACACACACACGCGCGCATGTATGGGAGTTCTTCTCAACTAGAGTTGATGTAGTTGATGATATTGGCTTGTATCTGGAGACTTTTTGGTTGTCACAGCCTTGTGGAAGCAGTAGGGTACTACTGGTATCTAGTGGGTATGTAACCGAACTCAAGGGTTTGCTTGGGGTGCACCAAACTGAATGCCACCCAAGGAAAACAAAGAACTTTCAATAGGGAGATAGGGAGAGAGTTCTCAAAGCACTGTCTCCCCATGGGGTTAATACGGGAAACTTTAATTCAGCGTGTTAGGGAGCAGGGGCAGGGAGTTTGCATAGGTTTGCAAGGAGGCTTGCAGGGAGTTTGCATTGGGTTCAGTTGTGCATGCCTGACATGTTAGTGTGCCAGTACATACATCCCATCTTTGAAATGGTGGAAAACTGCACTTATCGGAGGGGCTCTTGGTATTGTAATGAGCTAAAGGTAACTTCAGAACAACTCGGGGGTTTCTGTAAAACCCAGGCTGTCCTCACCTGCAATCTGGCTCAAGCTGGCTTATGTAAAGGGATATCAGGTGAGACATACCTAGCAAGGGACTGTCAGGTCAAACACCTAACTGGGGCTTCTCCTTGGCTGGAGCTGTTGGTTCTACAAAAACGAAACACATTCCTTCCCTACTTTTGTTCTTTCCCTTCCTCCCTTCTGCTGATAGCTTTTAGCCCTCTTATTTGCGTAACTTCCCATTGCATCATAGCTAACAGGTAGAGGCCAGGGGTACTGCTAAGCCACCTGCAGTGCACAAGGCATCCTCCCATGATGAAGAGCCATCTGATTTGAAATGTCAGTAGTGCCAGGGTCTGGGAGCCCTCTTCTAGGGGAAGGGAAGGGACAGACAGTGACAGAAGAAACAGCCACCACAAAAGCAGAAGGAACAACGATGCCTAAAGCCCTGAGTTGGGGACAGGCTGGCAAGTTTGAGGAAGGGCAAGGAGCCTCTGGACTCCTAGACAGGAGTGAGCAAGGTGGGGGGAGATGAGAACGGGAGGTTAGCAAGGGATGAGATCGTGTAGAGCTTTGTAGAACCTTACAGAGGCTTGGGCTTTCAACTCTATGAAACGGGAGGCCAGGGAAAGGATTCGAACAGGGGAGCAGCCTGCCCTCACATCCCTCTGGCTGCTGAGTAGAGCACATGACACAGTGGGGCACCAGTGGTGGTAGCCTGGTGAAAGATGATGGTGGTTGGGGCTCAGGAGGAATGTGGTGCAGGTGGTTCAATGTTGTCAGATTAGGTCATATTTTGAAGGCAGAGTCAACACTAAGCATGTAGGATTTAGAGAAAGAAAGGAGCAAAGTATAGCCTTGGTGTTTGGTCTGAACAATTAGAAGGAAGGTTGGCATTTACCAGGATGGTATGGTGTGCAGGTTTGAGAGGCAGGGGAAATCAAGGGTTGGGTTTTTCTTTTAATGTTTATTTATTTTGGGGGAGAGAGAGAGTGGGTGGGCACAAGTGAGGGAGGGGCAGAGAGACAGGGGGACAGAGGATCCTAAGCAGGCTCCGTGCTGACAGCAGAGAGCCTGATGCAGGACTCGAATTCACTAACCCCGAGATCATTATCTGAGCCAAAGTCAGATGCTTAAGTGACTGAGCCACCCAGGCACCCCAAGAGTTGGTTTTTTAATGTATTAGGTTTGAGCTGCCTGTTTGGCATCCCCATAGAATACACTGAGGTAAGTGATTGTATGTATGCATGAGTGTGGGGTCAAGGGAGACGGCTGTCTGTAGCATTAGACTTGAGTCATCGCATGTAGATTGCAGGTGAAGTCCAGAGACAGGATGCGGTCATCAGGGAGTGACTATAGGTACTCTGGTCCCAAGGATGAAAGCCTGCAGGAGAGACTGGGAGGGGAGGAATTGGAGAAACCACTAGTGTAGGGAAGACTTTGGAGGAGATTATTTCCAAAGGGACACAGAGAAATTGTTGGTAGTTGGAGGAGATGCAGAGCCAAGGGGGGTGGTCATGGTGGTCGTTGTTGGGAGAATGTGTTGCAGATTTTTATGTATGTAGGGATGACCTGGTAGGTATTAGAAGTTAGTTCAGGAGACAGAGGGTCAAGTACATCTGGCACAGAGGTTGCTAATGCACAGGAAAGGATTGCTTTGGGGAACATTCACAGTTTGACCATAGTAACCGGTGAGAAGAGCCGACAGATTGGGAGACTTCTAGATATTAAGTGAAATAAGGGTTCTGAAGAGGGAGAAAGATTACTTTGTAGTTGGGTGGTCCTAGGACCTTTCCTAAGCAAGGCAAGATCTGAGCTTGGTTTCAAAGAGGTTGTATTCATCAGGCAATAAGTTTACTTCATTTTATTTTATTTTATTTTTTTTTAATTTTTTTTCAACGTTTATTCATTTTTGGGACAGAGAGAGACAGAGCATGAACAGGGGAGGGGCAGAGAGAGAGGAAGACACAGAATCGGAAACAGGCTCCAGGCTCTGAGCCATCAGCCCAGAGCCTGACGCGGGGCTCGAACTCACGGACCGCGAGATCGTGACCTGGCTGAAGTTGGACGCTTAACCGACTGCGCCACCCAGGCGCCCCAGTTTACTTCATTTTATATTGAGCTTTTTGTATATTTCAAGTTCACTTTACCTGCCACATGCCAGGATCCCAGCATGAAGATTTTCCATTTTTTTTGCAGCTGTTTTGATGAGAAATAAAATACTACTCATTCTCTTTCCTCTAAGTAATCTTTCCTTTCCTTTCCCTCCTAATTTCAGGAACAAACTCTAGCCCTTAGGAAAGAAGGGATTGGAGTTGTTTTGGATTCTGAACTGCCCCATTTGATTGGCATTGATGATGACCTTCTGAGTACTGGAATCATCTTATATCACTTGAAGGTTAGAAATGGCTTAAGTAGAACATAATTTTGTTTTCCGTTTCCTCTTTAGACACTAGCAGGGTTTCCTGTAATACTCTACATCCGTGAACACAACTATTACATTAGAGAATACACTACAAATCTTTGAGCCCTTTGGGGATTTTCAATGGCTCACTGGTGTTCTGTGGTATTAAAAGTTCCCATGTTTATGGAGTTCTAAAGCTAAATGAAGATGCATTTACTTTGCCTGCCACTTTGGTGAATCAGTGAGAGAGAGGTAAGGAACAAAAAGGCAGGCAGACCAAGGAAGGAAAGTTACAACCACCTGGAGCTGAGATTTGCTACATGTAATTTTCTAGTCCCTGGGGTTAATTATAAAGCGTGTCTCCAGCCTACATTATTGGGCCTGGTCCCAAACTGGCAATTTGTGTCAAGAGAACAGAATTACCACATTAGTATCAGTGGTTGCCTCTGTAACCTTGACTTAGTATCCTCTCTCTGATCCATGCCTTAAAATGAGGATAGTGTTGGATCTGAGCTTTGCAGCCTCCCATAAATTGTATCTTTAGATAGGAAGAACCTTTGGCCCCTAGAGGAGAAACTTGCCAGAAAGGATCAGGAACATCAGTGGGATTACCCACGTGGACAGAGTATGGATGCACGCCAAAAATAGGAGCCTACCCTTGTTGAGCAGGAAGCTTCAGGACCTGTGCATTTTCTGGGCAACATGGGACATTGTTACAGAGCCTCAGTGAACTCTAATTGCACTGAGGCTATGGCCTGTCTGGAACATTGCTCAGCCTATCAGCCACCAGCTTGCTTGAGTTTACATGAAAAATGGAGAAACAGACCATTCTTCATGTTCTTGCTAATAAATTCAACTTGACTTTTCTTCCTAGGAAGGTCAGACATACGTTGGTCGAGAAGATGCTTCAACAGAACAGGATATTGGTGAGAATTTTTATCAATTTTTTCTTCCCAGTGATTTTTAAAAACCATTTAATGAAGAATTTTCTTTCGAATGACTAACACCAAAGTGATTATAAAAAAAACCTCTTTTGCAAATACAGTATCGATCAGTATGTGCATTTCTATAATTTTGAATGCAACTCAAATGAATGGAACAGAACAATTAGTTTAGTGAATAAATGGAATCCTTACCCCCACCATATATACATTCTATACTCTGTCACAACTTTCGAGAGTAATTTAAATTACTCTACTCTCATCACAATGGGACAGTGATGAAAATATGCCAACAGACATAGATAGAGGGTAGCAGATCCCTCAACAGGAAGGATATAGACACCTGTGCAATGATGCCAGAGTGCACAACACACACGCATATGGAGGTATGACTTCTGGGTTTCCTGAAAGTCTTTGCCGAGACCCACAGATAAGCAGTGATTCAGCCCGGGAGCAGGGTGAGGTCTTGTTAGGCTTTAAAAGCATACCCGGGCAACCACTGTAGTGGTGGTGGTTGGTGTGCGTGTGTGTGTGTGTGTGTGTGTATGTGTGTGTGTGTGTGTGTGTGTGTGTGTGTGTGTGAGAGAGAGAGAGACAAGGTGGGGAGTGGCAGGGGAAGAATTCTGTCTTCTCAGCTGTTTTTAGAATTGCTGGTAATGGACTTGCTTTCCTGCCAAGTGTAAGCTATTCATCACGCCAAAGCTAGTGTAGTTCTGTGTGTTTTACTATTTGCTGTGAAACTGGGAGAGCTGAAAACCAGTTCCCAGAAGTCCTGAGCTTCAGCTGTTTTTGAGTGGAACTAGGTGTCAGGCCTCCTCTTCTGATTATTAAATTGTGTATTTGACCTTTGGGGTTGCGGTAAATGATGATGAGTGGTAAGAACACATGTTTTCTGTGCACAGAAAAGCTCAGTAGTATGGTTCAGTGGAGAACAGTGGAAGCTGTTTGATTTGTACTTCTGAGAAGCTGGCCAAGAACTGTGCCTAAAATTGTGTAGGTTTTTTTGACAGGCGTTCATGTCCATGCCTGGCCACTCACCCAAGTAAGAATAACTCGGTGTAGTCCTACAAGAATAGGTACTTTAGCGGCCTCATGCTCCGAGAGGTCAGTGGAGGTCATGTTCTCTCAGATTTGGCACAGGCTGTGGTGGTGTGCATCCCAGTGCAGCTTCTGGAGACTTCCTTGGGCCTCTCAAGATCCATGCCAGGCCAAGTTCACCTTTGGTTTCTGCTCCTGGAATGCAGTGTCTATAAGTGCAGAGGTTATAAGAAGGGCCTTGACCCGCAGAGCCCTTTTGTTGCTTCCATTTTACAGTCACCTTTGGGTGGCTGGTGGAGGAAATTTATTCAGCATCTGAGCCACACAATGGTATTCAATTTAGACAAGTTACTTAACTATATTCTCCCTGAAGATGAGAGAAATTAGCATGTGAGAACTTACTTCCTTACACAGGTGAAATCCAGACACTTTGAGGTAACATTCAGCGTCTGTCAGCTGATGCCATGAAGTCCTGAAATTCACTTTTCTCCCTGAACATAAATGTTCACTTCATAATATTTACATGAAAAAGGAAGGGTATTCAATATGGAAAAATAAGTAAAGGTTGGGACTCACTGTACTCGATAACAAAGAAGATATTATCTTTCTTTTTTGTTTTTCCAACTTAGTTCTTCATGGCCTCGACCTGGAGAGTGAGCACTGCATCTTTGAAAACGTCGGGGGGACGGTGACTCTGATACCCCTGAGCGGGTCTCAGTGCTCTGTGAATGGTGTTCAGATCATGGAGGCCACACACCTAAATCAAGGTATCTGGTTTTGGTTTTCAGAGTTCTTTGTGTATGCCGTTGCTAGAGAACAAGTTGGCCAGGTAATGGGAGAACGTGTGCATCTTAGAATTAATTGCTGGTTAGTTACAAGAAATATGCAGACTGTTTGCTTCATTATGCTGTTTTCTGTTTTGCTGGAGGACTTCTTTATAATTCCAGTTGTCTTGTTGAATTAAACATATATATAGTTGTCTTAAAAATTATTGCTTTTATGGAAATATGACTTTAAAGGAATTTTTTAAGTTAAAAAAGCACCTTTCAAATGCAAAACCCTAACACAGTGCCTGCTGTTAGTAACTTTATTACCATATTTGTATTCTTTTTGTGAATAGTTGTGATTGTAGCATACATACAGGATCTGGTATCATAGCTTTTTTTTTTCTTTTTAAATAATTTCAGTTTTATGGAAAATTTGCAATTCTCATACAAAGAACTTTTTAGTTTTAGAAGCATTTGAAGGTAAATCACCAACATGATGCCCCACCACCCCTGAATAATTCAGTGTTTATTTCCTTTAAACAATGGCATTTTCCTGTGTAATTACAAGATAAGCATCCAGATTAGAAAACAAACTTCGGTACATTCCTGCCATCTGATCCTCAGATGCCCTTCAAGTTGTCGTTTGCCCAACAATGTCCACTGTGGGTCCGGGATTCAATCTGGCATCATGTGCTGCATTGAGTTGCCCCACCTGTCCTGTCTCTTTCAGTCTGGAAGAGTTCCTTTGCTTTCCTCTGACTCTTGGGACTTTGGCAGGTCAGATATGTTGCAGAATGTCCCTTTACACAAGTGTAGCATCTATGTGCTGCTTCCTCGCGATGACACTAATATTGTGCCTTCTTGACAGGACTGTCCGAGAGATGATGCCCTGTTTTTCCCACGTCCCATTACTGAAGAGACGCTTGCTTTGATCATTTGATTAAAATGGAGCTTGTCAGGCTTCTTTACTATGAAGCTACTCTCTTCCTCCTTTTTATTAATAAGGATATTGGGCAGGATTTTGAGATCATAAATACCCATTCTTTATCACACTTTCACCCACTGGTTTTGGAACCATGTTGGGGGGTGCTGGTGTCTGATTGAATTATTATTCGGATGGATGCCATGTGGCAATCTCCCTCTTTCTACATTAGTTGGATTTTTACTGTAGGTATCAGCAGGGTCACATGGCTCGCTATTTTATTTGGTAGGTCTTGGTCTGTCTGTCATTATTTGTTTTGATACACAAATTGTCCCAGGTTTGGTGAGTGGGAGTTGCTCCAAGCCGATTCCTGTGTCCTTGGATCTTGTCCCCAGCATCGATGAGCACTTCCTTAATTTCTGACACAATAACATGTTCCAGACTTATCTCTTATACTTTGCTGGAATCAGCCAGTTCTCCAAGGAGCCTTGGTTCATCTCAGTGGAGAATGGGATTTAGAAACTAAGATCTGAGCTCTAGACGTATTTGTCGCTCTTGAGGTGTTGCTGTTCCCAGGTCCTGTTAGTCAAAAGAGTTAGGGAAAGTGTGTGTCTCTGTGTGTACAACACATATTTATGTCTGTATTTATACAACACTATATTTATGTCTGTATCTGTGTCAGCATTTCAACATCTATATTGCTGACCAGGAGTTCATATCAGTACCTCTAACCCAACACAATACCATAGCATTCTTTCTAGTTTTTTCCTTTTTTCATATTTGTAAATAGCTCCCTTTTCTGATACTGATAAACCTGACTTCCATTATGTAACCAGTATGCTATCACTTCTGCCCCCTCCTCATGCAGGGATCCTCTTCTTCCTGTTCAGGCTTTGACACCCCATGCTGGACTACCACGCCACTGCCCTCACTCTTCTAGTGCAGACACTGAAACTTACTCCCTTCCCATGCTGATGGCTGCTTTGCATAGTCCCGCCTAATGGCTTTTGTACTGAGTCATGCGAGGAGGAACAAAGGAAAGAGTTGATATATCTTAAGCCCCCCCTTTTTTTCTGTATATTATGCATAGTTTTATGATAACAGTTTTTCGTAGTTACATACTATAATGTATCTGGTTTGACATAGGAATTGGACACATGGGGGAAATTGGACAGATGGAAAGCATATAGTTCATTGGTGTTAGTGAAGTCATGAGCAGAAATCAGTTGTAAGGAGTTATCTCAGAAATGAAGGATGGTATGGTACCAGAACCATCATCCTTTTATAGGAAGGGTATAGAATCCACTGAAGACATTCTAAAAGCAACTAATGGAGTATCCACCCATGAACCTACCACCAAGTCATCCACTCATCCATTGATCTCTTCATCTGTTTTTGTACTATTAGTATTTTTCAGTGTCAGGGTAAGTTGAGCTTGGGAAACATTTGGGTACCTTGGAGCTGGCTGGGAATGTCAGAGTTCAGCAGTAGCCAGTGACTAGCCCAAACCAAGGATACATGAGTACCCAGTGATCATTACCAAAGCAGCATTTTCTGCTTGTCTGTAACCAGGACAAGGACTCTGGCAGTAAGGGTTGGAGAAGCTGGTTCTTGCTGGACAGCAGAGTAATAGTCATGGTGAGAGGCTGTCTGTCCTGAACCCAGAAGGTTACCATAATTGGCCAGCAGACAGGAGGTCACTATATAGGGCTTTTCAGTGGCTGTCCTGCTTGTGAGCACACAGACCCAGACCACCTGTTTGTTCACGCTTAGGACCTCAGGTGGAGGGCCTGCTGCTGTTCCTCTGGGCAGCAGGGCTGGTGCACAGGTCATGGTGAGAGGCGGGAGATGGGTCCCCTAGCGCAGTAGAGATCTCTAGGGGCTGCATCCCTGTCAGGTCAGGGGAAGTTGACCTTGCTCTGATGACTGTGTATTGTTATGGGATTTTATAAGAGGCTTGTACTGGTTTCCAATATCATCGTTAATGCATGAGTAGAACTTTAGAATTCATTTTGAAATATTTAATCGTTTAATACATCTGGGGTAGACCTAATTTAATTTTTTCCATATTGGTTTATCATTTATTATAACCTTACCTCATGCATGCTAAATACCCACCTCTCTTTCGAAGAAATTTTCTTTCCCAAAAATGAATGCTGACACATAGCAGCTATCTATTTTGTGGCTTTCCACTTTGTTCGTGTACTCTGTATTTCTACTTTTGTACAGGTATCGCACAATTTTAATGCTTGTTATGTTTTAATATGCTTTAATTTCTTTTCTTATTTGAGTGTTTTTGTGCTATTCATTCCTGTTAATTTTTTCAAAGAAATTGTAGAATCACTGCTTCTACCATTATGGGTCAAATAGTCTCTTATGGGTCCTCTTGGAGGTTAACTTTTATGTGTAATGGTGTTTCTCTGAAAAAAAATCAGTTTTAAGGTCCCAACAATACACTGTAAAAGGAGCTTTTAGAGCACATATTGTTTAACAGGGAAACTGCCTAGAACTTACTGTTCAGTATTGGGGTTATCTTCTACCCTTTGCCCACCCACCCCCATAGAAAGATTATTATTTACTTAGTTCAAAGAATTTGCTTATTATTCCACTGCCATCTGCTTATATAGCTATGATTATGTCTCTAATTCTCTTGGGAATTGAGGCATTGAAGGTAAGTAATATATTTCCCATATAGTATTTTTATCAAGTTTTTTTTTTAATCTTAAATTTTTACCTTAATTGAAAGTCCATTTAAAAAATATGCCTATTCAGGTTAGTGATGACTGAAACTAAATTTTTGACTTGTCCTCGGAAAGTAGTACTAATTGACATTTAAGGTTAATGGTCAGAATTATCTTTTTCCTGTGGGGTATCTTGTTTTTATTACCATGGTGCCATGATTTGGGCTTGAGCTCCTCTGGTGCTCTTCTGAGCTACCGACATAAAAATGCCATGTTCCAAAGCGTTAAAACACCGTGCACCAAGAACAAATGTCATTAGCAAGTCTTAGGGCAGTGAAATGCAAGATGACTTTGTGTTTCAAGGCATTACATGAACGAAGCAACAGAATACCGTTTTTTTTAAATGCACATACTTTCAGACTGAAACATCCGACCAAGGAAAGCCATGTGTATGGTCCTTCTGAAATTAAGGGTTAGACTTCTCCACATACCTTCGTTTTTGAGGATTATTAAAATGAGAACTGGAACACATTTTAAAAACACAACATATACAGTGTGTTCTTTTTGGTTATGAAACTATGTAGTAAAAGCAAAAAGATGTGAATGGGACTAACACATGCCTACTTTGGAATGGTGTTAACCTCTGGAGAGGAAGGGGGAGTCCTGGGGAGTCTTTTATCAGGTAGGGCTACAGAAGAATTTCCAGCTGTATTTGTAAGATTTGATCGTTTAACAAAAACAGAAAACAAAACAAACCAAACAAACAAAAAACAAGACCAAAATGAAAAAGAGAAAGAATATGGACTTCATTAAAATATAATAATTGGGAAACAGAATTAAACATATCAGTATATTCATACTCCAAAAATTACTTGGCTTTTGCCCATGAAGCAGTTTAAGTGAAGGTGTCAAGAAGAGATGGACGTTAACCCAAGTCACAGCCATCTAACTGTATTGAGTCTGCATTTGACAGGATTCCAGGTTTACCCTGCATTACCAGCAGCTTCCTATCTTTTCACTATCAGTTTCCAGTTTATTGCTGATATTTGATACTTTAACGTCTCTTTTCATTAGTAAATTACTTCATTTGGAAATGTGTTAGGCTGTCCCCTTAAAAAGCACAGGCAGTAATTATCCTTATCTAGATCACTTAAGAGATTTGTGAATGTCAACTAATAGGAGATTTACTTGTATTTAGCAGATTTTCACCATTGTGGGGATTTTTTTTTTTTTTAACCTGTATCAGTTAACAGCCTTACTTCGAGATTGTATAAACAGTACTTCCCCCGCCTTAAATATTAGGAGTATTTCCGTCTGGCAACATCACTAAAATGAAAAGTGTTTGCTAGTGCCGTGGGAATTAAATGAGATGACATACAGAATGTGTGTTGTCTAAA